TATATACATTTTTTTTGCCTCTCTCGTTTTTAGATCCGTTTAGCAGTTCCTGTTGCTGGCCGAACACACAGACAACGATTGCTGCACTTAGCCGTTGTTTAAGCCGTAAATCGTCGCCTCCGCTTCCGGCATCAACGGAAGTGCAACATTTAATTACTTCCAGCATGGCAAACGATTCCGTTTCACTTGTTGTGGCATCAATTGTTACTTCTGATCGGCAGCCCAAGTGCCACCCCGCATTAGGATTGAGTATGAATATCGTGTATACGCCATGAGGTACCGCTGTTGCTAAATGAACTCAACTCAACTGAAAGGACAGCGCGAACAGATTGATGCAAATGCTCGCTGCAGATGTCCATGTCCAAGAGAAGTCAGCCAGAAACTGGGTTAATTTCGGTCCGCGACTTTATTGCATTCAAAATGAAGCGCAACTATAATCGCCAGAGCGGAAATACCAAGTGAGGGGGGAACAAGTGATTGGGGGTATGAGCCTCACATATCATGAGCAGTCCTGGGAATGGCATCGGGATGCGAAACTGGGTTCGGGGGATCAATCGTGCGTGGAGTTTTAGTTGGGGCAACCAAGGCGCAAAAGTTGCCATCGGTCGATGGCGACAGCTGCTTGCTCAATGGCCGCAACCTAATCTAATAGCCATGTGCAGGGTCCCCATACCCATTCCCATTCCCATACCGATTCTGGCCCCGCTCTGTTCATTCTGGCCGGTCTGCAGCTAATGCATCTGTTAGTGCCGCTGTTTTCACCACAGCCATTTCGCTCCACGCCGCATGAGCCGCGAGCATTATTTTTGACCGCACGAGGAGTGTCCCGGACCGGAGTGTGTTTTTGCCCCATGGCGACACAGGAATGGCCCGGCAAGGAGCAAGCATTAAAAAATATTCCTCAACGACTCTCTTTCTCGCAAAAGTTTAGTTCATTTCGGGCTTAAAGAGAGTGGAAAGTTTTGCACTTGGAATTAAATTGTGAATGCGAGTGTTTCCCGCAAAACATACATTTTTTGATAAGTTGGATTCAGGGTGCCTTGTGTGCCTATTGTCCTGTCTGCGTAATAATAGTCTTCAAAGTTTTTACAACAAACAAAAAAAAGGAAGTTGGAATAAGGTATAAAAGTATATTTATATCGTTTTTGGTGGACCTTATGGACTTTAACTTTTAATGAATGCCTGATGTATGGATATGAGAATAAATAAAGAATTAAGATTTAGTATACAGTATATATTTCAAATTACTTTGCAGACTTTCTTGTATACCAAACAGGAAAGAATATATATTCTTGATCACTTAGATCTTAAAGACAGTAAAATATGGAGTAATGGATGGATTAGCATCTATTCTTTTCTTTATTTTACCCATTTTTATTTTTATAAGCTCAAAGTAAGCTATTTAATTCTTAAAGCCCTTCGGAACGGAACTTATTCTTCAGAGTGAGCTCAAATACCTAAAAATAACAAATATTTATTTTTGTATGCACAATAAACACTAAATTAACAATAGTTTAGTTTTTCCGGCAGCTTCTCTTTTTAAATTTAAAGGAAATATTTGAATACCTCCAATAACCAGTTGACATTTCGCACATTTTCCATTTCGCTCTGCTAAACCAATTTTCATGCTTTATTCAAGCAGCGCAATTTGAACATTCAGGGGAATTTTAGCGAAAAGTTCGTTGAAATTTTTATTGCGGCCATAAAATGTTTAAAAAAAGGTTGATATAGATGCAGGCATTCAAATTAAACCAAATACTTTTTCGGCCAAATAGCCCACTATTTTAATTTCATAATACGCGCCCCCCGGAACGCTTTAAATTTCGTCCATTAATAAGCCGGACTACGGCTACTATCTGGCCGAGATTAGAAGCGCACTGCAGTAGTTATTTAATTTTGCCTGACTCCTCATCCGTATCGGGCGGATTAATTGATCCAGATACGGATCGGGAGGGGTGGTGGCAGGATGAAACTAGTGAAGCCAGCATAAAGGAGGTCTGCCCAAAGCTCTGGACGAATTTATGGGGCTTGCCTGGGCGACGAATTGCAGCGAAGTTTGTCAACGTTGCGTATACGCCGCATGGCCAGGGTGCAGTTGGGCTTGAAGGAAAAATTAGTCAACATTTTCATGTCGGCCCGGCATTTGTCGTACCTGACTGTTGTTTATGGTTGCCCCGGCGGCAATTTACGGTTGCCCATCTGGACCTTGTCTAATGACATAATTGGAGGCCGCGTCCGAAGTGCGGCCGTAAGTGCAACAAAGAACCTTTTGAGGCTGCAATTAATTTACGATTTTTTTGTGCGGGCGACCACTTTGCAGCCAATTGGCTGCCAGTGGCAAGTTGCCGGCTTGCCGGCTTGGCAGTTGCCAGCTGCTACAAACTCGAGCATACATATGTTGCCGCAAATTATAGTCCCGCTGGCTGGCAGCCGCAGTCAACTCGAAAGCTGTTGAAGCGGCAGCCCTGGAAATTTGCTTGAGCTTCAGCTGCATCATTTGCTTCGAATTGAATTTAAAGGCCGAGCCTCGTGCCATACCGAGCAGCGTGTTTTTCACTTCTGTGTAGCCGGGATGGTGGCCCGTTGCCAAGATGTGTGCTCTGCACCAGCTCCTGGACCACCCATCCTTCGGGCCCAGGATCAACATTTCGCTTTTGTCCGCCTGCCAGACTTTGCAGACTTGAATGTTTTTCACCGCAGCTGCAGCTGCAGTTTCCTTTGTGCTGCACTGGCCTAATCCGCTCGCTGGCCCAACTAGCCACTCCCATTTTCCATTTTCCACGCTGCATATCGGGCTACTCGCAGGAGCCATGTGTTTTAGGAAGCTTGATATGCGGCAAGTAGATTAATTATACTCTTTCTAAAGGCTATACTACTGGAGAGGATTAGAAATGGCAGATTTATTTGGTAAAAAAACGAATTCCATTTGATTTTTTTCATGAACTAATGAGATAATTATAATCATAATAGTCTGATATAGAATCTATTATTATAGAAAGTAGTACAACTTTTAACAATAAAATCCTTCTACGTTTTCCTTATTTAAAATCTTAATTGGTGTGTTAAATTAACTAAACACACCAATTATATTACTTTATTTCTAAGAAGCCTAGTTAATTCTTTAACAATTTACCTTTACTTCAAAACTAAATACCTTCCCAAATGATATATTTTCTTTATAAAGACCACGACCTATTTCTTTTCATCCCAGTTAGCTTTGGCATTTGCGTTGCCAATGGCAAAACAGCAAAGATATCTACCGAGGAATGCCTAAAATGAATTTAGAGCAATTTTCAATTATTGCACAATCGGAGCGTAAATAAGTTGTAAATCATCAATTACCCGGCAAAAAGAAGCCAGCTCACACAGATACTCCCGCGCACATACACACATGCACGGCCATTACATACAGTTACAACAACTAACTGCAATTGCCAAGGAATCGCCGAAAGCGGATACGTGTCCTATCGCTTCCCGAAAAGCAGCAGAGAGGAACACAGATATGGAGGGGATCAAGGAGTGGCAAGGACGAAAGCTGGCCAGACAATGGGCAATCGTAAAAATAGCAACTAACAATCCGAAAAGCACTCGGCCACACTGAGACCAGGACAAAGTCGAGAACAGGAGATAAGCAGTGCCAGCTGAGAAGAAAGGAGAACAAACAGTGCACTGAGGAACAAGGCTCCAGAAATTATACAGTATACTTTATAATCTTTAAATTTATTAAGAGTTGGAAGAACTACAACTACAAAAATCAGATTTATTTGAATTTTCCTGCCTAATTAGCATTTTACAAGTTTTAATGGTTATTTAATGTATTTATCTTTCGATTTCATGTTAACACTCTATATGTGCTTTTCCACAGAATTGGTTTAAACTGTGATTGGTTTGCTCTTATTAAATAAACAATCCTATTCATGTTGGCCTTTTGAATAATTTATATATTACAAATGAAAGAGATCTAAAATTATTTGCCTAATTTTGGTTTTGTTTTCGCTGAGATTAAATTATATATTTATTGGAAATAATTTTAATTTATAATGTGAGCACATTCTAGTCTATATATTACTATAAAAAAAGTTATTCAGGGTTCCTTGTTGGAAATGTTTATAGGTTTTTTAAATTGTTAAGATATTAGATCTACAGAATTATCACAATAATTATTATGAAATGTACTATTTTATGGTTCTATCTAAGAATTTATATATAATTCTTTAAAAACATATAGATTAAAGTTATATTTATAATTTAGTTTCCATTCGTTTATATTTCCGGCTTTACAGGATATGAAAATTCGCGAATTAACAAACTCCCAGGAGCAGCTTTCACCTTTATTAATACACTTTTTTGCCCAGTGCCCCAGGAGAGGAAGTGCTCCTAGTCGAGCAGTGAAAACCTTAAGTAGATAGATATAGAAATGTCTCTTTTCGTCCCTGCCGGCATGTGATTTATGTGGTAAATAAAAGAGGGACAGGAACAAGAACAAGAAGTGGAACAAGCTCGGGAATCAAAGCCCGGCCGTAAGATGGGGGCCTCGACTCGAGTCGTCTCAACATGCAACATGGCTTGCAATTGCAGAAGGCAGCCAGCAGGCAGCAGCATGCGGCATGTGGCAAGCGGAATGGGCGAAGACAAAGACAAAAGAAAGGGGCAGGCTGGGACTAGGGATGCGAGTGATACTGAGGCAGACAGACGGCAGGCGAGACGGAGTAAAAGTTTTTAATATTATTTCAAGTCTGAAATGAGGGCAATCAGCAAGTGCAATTGTCGTCGTCGAGCGGCTGGCATAACAAAAGAGCCGTTTTTGGCCACGAAGGGGCGGTGAACAGAACAAAGGCGTCACCCGAGATGGATCCCAGGAAGCCTTCTGCCAATAAGCGATGGGAGTGCGCCCCTGTCAAATGATGCATTCGCCGCCAAAGGAGATGGATAAGAGGTGGCTGGCGGGGAGGCTGGCTGGCTCACTGGCTCACCGGCTATATGCTGGGCCAGAACAAACAAAAGGCAGAGAGATAGCGACAAAGACCCGCTGGAGCAGATGCAGATGCTGATAGGATGGCTTACAAGTAGGTAAACGATGTAGTTTCAATTAAGGATGCTCCGGGAAGATGGCAACCGCGAAGAAAGAGACGGCTAAGGGTGTGCTTGCCTAGCTGATGAAGTCGCTTTCCTTTGAGCCGGGGTCCAGGAGCTATCCTGCCACCGGGATGCACATATCCTTGCCGAGTGAGCGATGGCTGAGGAACGAGTGGCACTGGAACACGAGATGGGCGAATGCGTCAAACTGAACTTGTACCACTAACCCAGTTAGCAGCGCCACGGAACATTCGAACCTGGAACACCCGCTGAGCATGCTACTACGTGCTCTCCATGTATCGTCCTGCGCATCCTGTTTCCTGTTGCGAACACACCCGACCAAATCCGAGTCCCAGCCGAGGCCAAGCCGTAGCCGAAGCGCCCCAGCGAAACGAACGGAAAGTGGACCGTGCTGCGGCAGAGGTTCGATGGAGCAGTTTGAGCGAAATCGCGTTGAACCCCCAAATGTTGAGACACAAATGCCCGCCAGAAGCGAGCTTATCGGGCGAGGGGAATTTCGTTATCATCACAGCCCGGCAACAAAACGTTTTCGACAAGGTTGGCTCGTGCCTGATCCCAGCGATCCCACAGTGGGTCCACAAGCTAGTCGCCGGCATGACGCCTCCCTTTGGCAGCTGGAGCTGCCTCTGCCTGTCCCTGATCTGGCTGCAGCTGAGCCTCATCAACGCCGGCCTGGAGTTCCTGCGCGTGGGCGTGCCCTTGCAGCTGGTGCGGCGCCGGGAGCTGGAGGAGGAGGAGCGGCCCATTGAGGGCGAGTGCACCCTGGGAGCCATTAGCGTTCGAATGTTCGCCTTCTGATGGGTTCTTATCGGTCAATTTTTGGCTGGTCTTTGCACGCTTTATGGGCCTCTTAACTTTGATAATAATTAAACAAAATAGTATGTGTCGAGATATGTCACTAAGTTTAGTTGTTGTAAATATAAAGAACCATGTTCAACGAGACTTACTACATTTTATAAGAACTACTTAAGAATACAATAAAAAATAATTTGATACCTAAAAGTATCTTGATTTGTATTTCAAAGTGAGCTTTTGTATATTTTATGTGCTGATGCTGATTAATCTTATCTGAATGTTTGAAGAAACCTAAAGCTATTATTAGTTTTTATAACTGGTATTTGGTACAAGACAATCTATCATATCTTATATTTCTATATGAATATCTAGATCTTGAAGACTATCAGGGCTGAAAGTAACATATTAAAAAATTTTAATTAAATATATTATATATTTTTATTTTAATTATTATTTTAATAAGAAATCTATGCTACTAAATGTTATATTTTATTTTGCTATAAAGCACACTTAATTATAAATTGATAACTTGCACTTATTTAATAAACAATTAAAATTATAATTACTTAAAATATGATTTTAAAAGCTGGCTAATGCTCAAATAATATTTACTTTGCTTTTCATGCTATAAACATATTTTGTTGTTAATAAACTACACAAAATAAATTCGCTGTGCAGAGATAAAACCCCGTTCAAGGCAAGCAGACCAAAATAAAATGACGAAATAAAATAGGCAATATTATCTACATTGTTATTTTTCGGGTAATTATGGAGGGAATAAAATGAATAACAAATAATAAATAATTAAATGTAAATTTAGAACTTATAGGGGAAATTTCTTTTAATAAAAAGTAAATTTAATAGCTCTGCATTTAGAATTAAAAATTCATATGTACGGCGTTGAAATGGCTCTACTTTTAGATAAGGTGAACGTAATAATACAGCCGATAGCAAGATAATATATATTAGCCCATTTTAGATGGATTTTAGATTGCTTAAAAAATACAGTCTGTAGATATGACTGTGTACTTTTATGAAATGTATTTTTCTAGAAAATATTAAAAATGTTAATGGGTAACCAAATGAAATATTTGTATTTATTTAAATTGTAATATATACATCTGTATATTTACATTTAAATGCAATAACATGAAGACTAAATTACTTGGCATATATCTGAATATATTTGGGCTCCTTAAGAAACGGTTTGTTTATTTATTTGCTATGCATTTCTGGGTTAGACTTTCCCATTCAATCTTTGCCCGACACAACTGCAAATTTTAATTAAAAATTCATCCTGCGAAGGGATAAAATGTGTCATTTATATGGGGCGGCAGTCGGACAGCTTTGGGCTGCTTATCTTGCGTTGACATACCTTGTCAGTTCATAGAAATATCAAATGAAATTTATGGCAACACGAAATTCTCGGCCAAGATGTAAAGAGCTCCTATTTCTTACCTTTTTCGCACTGTTTTTGCCTTGCCTTGTATATTTTTTCTCTTTTTTTTTTACTTTTTCTGACAGTTGAAAGTTCATTTTCTGTTCGATTTGCTCGATGGAGCTTGGGGGCTCGATAATATTTCATTACAGCGCCTTGGGGCGGGAATTTATTCATTTGCATAATTCCCTTGTTTACAATTTGTGTGGCACAGAGAAAGAGCGATTGACTTAAATGAAGTTACAACTTGGCAGCAGCTAAGTGAGAGCAGCAGTTGCAAAATAAGAAAATTTATAATATTCAATTTATATGCACTTTCTGCAGAAGCCTGGCCCTGGGCTCCCTTGAGGAGTAGTAACAACAAGTAGCTGCGGCGCGAGCGGCGGAAACAACTGCAACTGCTAAGCTGATAATCCCAGATTTCGAGGCGCCAACAGCTGCACCCATTCAGCCAGTGCCGCACCACGCCCCCTAATCCGCCCCGGCACCGTGATTAATGAGATTTGTCACTGGCTTCATTTGTATTTTCCATGCTGTTGACTTGGCGCGAAGACAGCTCCTCCACGGACTCATCCCCATCCTCGTCCTAGCCAACCGACCAACCGACATGCATATAAATTTCATAAATACTTGTGCCGCCGCCTGCACAAGTGCAGGGCCCTGGGCCAAGTGACGTGGCATGGCCAACAGCAGCTGGCCGAGAAAATTTGCATTTTCATTATTTTCAACTCAATTTAAAAACGAAAATCACCAAAGACAAACAGCCACGGGTCAGGCTGCGAAGCGGAAGGAAGTCGCTTAGCCGGCTTGCCTTATTATGATTCGCATAAAAATAAAGGCCCCCCTCCTGCCACCGCTCCCCGCTCCCCGTCGATAACTAAGTGCCACATTAAATTTACCCGAGCCTATAATTCATTTGCTAAGCCTCGGCCTCTGTGTTTCGGTTCCGCTGCCAGTTAGAGAGCTTCTCCTCTCGGTACTCCTCCTGTCCGAGATGATCATTAGGCGAGGAGGCACTGAAACACTGAAACTGAGCTTATTATACCCTCCAAGAGGGTAGGCACTCCGAAAAGGAAGTGCAGCGCTCAGGATGATACTTTGTAGTGTAGAAAGAAGGGAAGGTATTTGTTATTACCCTTTGTTTCTTTTATATTAAATCTAAATAATTTAAAACCTTTAAAGCTTATTTTAAAAGAATTTATGCATTGAATTTCCCTCTTAATGGTAAACTCATAACAATAATAAATAAAATCCAATGAGTATAAGATTTATTTATACTCAAATGAATATATTTACTGTCGAATATTCTCTAAAAAATCTATATTTATATATTTACCGTTCTTTAAAATTCTCAACAATAAACCAAAGTATATTGGCCAGCTTGTATTTTTTTTATTTTTTGGTAAAACACCGAATATATTTATTTCAGGGTATTTACAGCTTTGAATGCTCACAGATTCAGACCCATTTTATTCATTTGGTCTTGTGCTTTATTATTATTTTTTTTTTAGTGAATTTGTAGCTGCATTTCGGGTATCTCCACTTGGTCTCAGCCCTGCCCAGCTCAGCTCATCCCGGCTCGCCTCGGCCCGGCTGAGTTATGGTGGGCAATAAATTTATATGACATATAAATGTAAATAATTGAGCAGCGCGGAGCCGCCGTCTAGAGTTGTCACAGCGGTGAGGCTGCGGCTCTGGGGTTGAGATTGGGGTGTGGGACTGGGGATGTTTTGGGGTTCTGAGGGGTAGTCAAGGGGTACCAGCGGCTTGTTGACTCCGTGATTGATGCCGGCCCCCACTCTGCGGCTCCTCGCATAAAAGTCCTTAATGGCCATTCTGCGTCGGGCATTTAATTTAAAGTTTTGCTGCATCTTTTTGTTACACATTTTATTATTTGTTTGGCTCGCGTTTTACAGAAAGCGGAGGGAAACACTCTAGACGGTCAGGGCGCAAATGGGATAGGGTGAGGTCATATCGATGCCCAGCTTCTTGATCACGTAGTTGATCTGGTCCTGGCTCTTCAGCCCATACTCCTCGAAGGACTTCACGTTGAAGCGGCTGATCCGGTTGCCGGAGATGTTCTGCAGGAACTTGTAGTAGCTGGGCCGCAGTGAGCGTGCCTCCAGGATGGCCGAGTGGAAGAGCACGGCCGTGAAGAATCCGTACATCAGCATGGAGAAGTGCGGCACCTCGGGCACCTTGCCCTCGGCCACGCCCCAGTTGTACAGGAGCTGCAGGGACTTCCACATCAGGTAAAGAGCCACCGTGGTGTTGGGGAAATTTAGGAGGCCAATCGAACCCAGGAGGCCAGCCGGAATGGCAAAGAGGGCACTGTCGTATCCACAGCTATGACGCAGGCCACAGGAAGTTGTCTGCAAGACGATGATAAGATATAGATAATATAAGATATATAATAAATAACTGAAAAATTACTTAATGCCGGATATTCTAATATTTTACGAACTATGCTAAAAAAGATTTAGTTTAACAGAAGTTGTAAGGATTTCCTCACCTTAAAGAGCAGCGAGAAGATGCCTAGAGCCAGGCCCAACTGCAGGGATCCCTTGTTGAAGATCTGCTTGCGCCACTGCATTTTAAGCTGGAATATCTTGGTAATGTTCAGCAGCAGCTTGAGGCCCACCTGGAGACCCATGCCGCCCAGGAAAGGCTTCAGTCCACCGAGGAGGGCATACGGCGCACAGCCTCTTTTGTGCGGACAACTGGGATGCTTGGTGGTCAGAAAGCGATCGTAGAGCTGCAGGTACGCGGTGATGCTGCGGAAGTTCAGAGGTCGCTGGCGAGAGCTCTGTGAGGTGGTCACCATTGGCGTCTTTAATGGACCCTCCTCCTCTTTGCCCACTATCACACCCAATCCTTTGAAAGTGGCATCCTTGGCCACTGTCTTGTGCAGGCCAGCACGGTACATGTACATCAGGGCTGTGACACTCAGACCCATGATGAGCACCTGGCCATTGGGAATGGACCGAACCAGTCCCCGGGACTCCATCATCTTCCACAGCGTCTCGATGCCCACGTTGGCCACATACATGGCCAGTGGGGCACGTCGTTCTGGTCGCTCGGCGGCCAAGGAAATGAAACTGGAAATAAAGGAGGGTAGCCAAGCCACCGTTCCGAAGTAGAATCCGCCGAGTAGCTGTCTCAGGAAACACACGCAAAAGACGAAGAGGCCTCCGTTCAACGAAAGGAAAGCTGTCGACTGCAGGATACCGGCGGCGGTGCGTCCAAGGTCCTTGAGCGAGGGTATGCGACCCCTCATGACCAGCGCCAACTGTGAAGAAAAAGACAGATTAGATTGTGAATCCTAAATATTCTGTTTATGTTTATAAGTAAATAATATAAATATAATTTCCAATCTCTTCTTTAGATATTTTGAAATTTAAAAGAGTCTTGGGAAATTTTATATAGTTTTTGTTAAGTACAACTAGTACTTGCAATCAGTTCTCTTTTAAGAGTTCCCTATTAAAACACGAACTTCGTACCGTATCAATTTTGTGCAGGTGCCAAATTCTTGCTAATTTTAGCCCATTCTCAACTTACCAGGTAAACAGTGGCGTAGGTGCGCAGACTGGGGGGAATCTCGGAGAGCATCATGCCCGCCGCGGCGCAGGCACAGCTCGAGGTCCACGGGTGATTGTACTCATGACAGCTGCAATTGAAGGCGATTTCCGCCAGTTTACTCTGGACAGCCATGATCTACTTTGAATATTGACTTCTGCTCGGTGGACGACGATTATCGAATTATAGCTCCGTGGAGATGATAAAGCTTATCGGGAAGGGGCCTATCGCCGAAAAGTGCGAAGGTGCCACGCTATGCTAACTTAATCTGAACGCTCTACTTCGATTTGATTTTCCGGATTTGTGAGACTCCGCCCGGTTTCAATGTAATTTCAGGCGGAGAACTTTCCGTAATGGGTCACGAAGGCTGCCAAGGTTCCGTGTTATCAGTAGTAGCCTCTTTTGGGTTTCAAGCTCCTCGGTTTCCAGGAATATCCGCTACAGCATTTCCTGGATCAGCTGCTGCTGGACAACCACCAAGATTCAGCTGTTGATTGGATTTTCCAGGGAAACATAAATGGAAATAAAAATATCTTAAAATGTTGTAATATTTAAAAGGGGGTCCAAATACATAATTTCATGTCTCTATTGTACAAATACTCACCAAATAGTTTGTTGTTCCAGCTAAGTTTAAGAGTTTATTATGTGGTTTAATCTGAAATTTCACGTTCGGACCTTGTCGGCCATCAAAATAGAACTAACTCCCGTCACGACTTGGCCAAGTGAGCGGAACGTGTGGACGCACCTTATGAGCTTCATTCCATTCCATTCCGGCTGTAATCAGCCCTCTCCCCAAATTCCACGCAAGTGGCTCGGCTGAAGTGCGTCGGATGCGATGCGGCGCTTATCGCATCCACGCGAGCCGAAAGTTAGCTTTGGCTGTTCGATGGCCGATCGGTTTGTTGACGCTGCGTCACCCACAGCTGGTTGGGATTCTTATCAACTCCCAAGAGCTCACCTACATGTGCGTTTATTGCCTTGGAATTCTCTTAGTTCCGCATTGGGCTCTCTTCGGAAGAATAAAAAAGCTTAATTACAAATTAAAATATTAAAATCTTTATTTTAACAATACTAATTAAATGGGAAAAAGGCTTGATAATAAGTAAAAATGTGACTAATATATAGGCATCGCCTAAGCAATATTCTAGACACTCATGGCGAATTTTGGGTAAGGTGAATTCCAGACAATGCCCAGTTTGTTGATCACTTGGTTTGCCTGGTCCTGGCTTCCAACTCCAAAAGCCTCGAAGGGCTTTAAATTGAACCTGCTAAGGCGGCTGCCGGAAATGGTTTCAATAAACTTGTAGTAGCTGGGCCGCATGGATTGCGCTTCCAATATGGTCGCATGGCAGAGCACAGCAGTGAAAAGCCCATACAGTATCATTGCGAAGTGTGGCACCTCGGGAACCCATCCCTCAGCGGCGCCCCAGTTGTACAAGAGCTGCAGGGACTTCCACATCAGGTAGAGAGCCACCGTGGTGTTTGGAAACTGCAGGAGGCCAATCGAACCGAGGAGGCCAGCCGGAATGGCGAAGATGGCACTGTCGTATCCACAGCTATGACGCAGGCCACAGGAAGTTGTCTAAAAGGATCGGTGAAAATGGTAATGAAATATAATTTGAGAGTTTACATAACCCACCTTAAAAAGCAACGAGAAGATGCCCAGCGCCAGGCCCAGTTGCAGGGATCCCTTGTTGAAGATCTGCTTGCGCCACTGCATCTTGAGCTGGAATATCTTGGGAATGTTGAGCAGCAGCTTGAGGCCCACCTGGAGACCCACGCCGCCCAGGAAAGGCTTCAGTCCGCCGAGGAGGGCATACGGCGCACAGCCTCTTTTGTGCGGACAACTGGGATGCTTGGTGGTCAGAAACCGATCGTAGAGCTGCAGGTACGCGGTGATGCTGCGGAAGTTCAGGGGTCGCTGGCGAGAGCTCTGTGAGGTGGTCACCGTAGGCGTCTTTAGTGGACCCTCCTCCTCTTTGCCCACTATCACACCCAATCCTTTGAAAGTGGCATCCTTGGCCACTGTCTTGTGCAGACCGGCGCGGTACATGTACATCAGGGCTGTGACACTCAGACCCATGATGAGCACCTGGCCATTAGGAATGGACCGAACCAGTCCCCGGGACTCCAGCATCTTCCACAGCGTCTCGATGCCTACGTTGGCCACATACATGGCCAGTGCAGTTCGGCGCTCTGGTCGCTCGGCGGCCAACGATATGGAGCTGACCAAGAGTGAAGGTATCAAAGAAGCGGTGCTGAAGTAGAATCCACCCAGCAACTGCCGCACCAGGCAAATGGCTAGAATGAAAAGGCTTCCATTTAATGAGAGAAACGCCGTTGACTGAAGAATGCCAGCTGCAGTGCGTCTGACGTCCTTAAGCGATGGTATGCGGCCCCTCATGATTAAAGCCAGCTAGAATAGGTATAAATAATTGGGAATTACGTATAATTATTGATTTTGTTAATATTAACATTTTAATGAATTAAACAAAACTAAATTAATAGTAAATAAACATAAACTATTATTTCAGGACACCTTATAAAGTATATCCGTTTTACTGCAAGCCAAGTCGCAGATCTTTCCATGTTCTGTAGAGTTTATCGATTCTCTGGAGGATCTTGTTTAGCTGTGGGTCCAGGTCGCAAAAATGGTTCAATAGCTCTAAAACAAGGTGCTCACGGTCCAGTCCGCTCAACTGCTCCCCTGACTGCTCATAGGTGACTTGCTGTCTAATTTCTTGTCTTCCGAAAGTACAATTATTCAGGTTAGAAAGCTGTGTTTCCATCTGGCCATCTAAATGGGAAATGGTCTTCAGGACTTTAGGCGAAACATTTTCCATGCCTTGAAGGAGGGGATCGATAAGAGATTGGAAAACGTGCCTGGGTGGCTTTATGTCTTCTTGGGCTTTGGCCTTTTCATACAGAAAATAATCGACTAATTGCCCAGCTTTCTGCGTCAAGTTTTTATGAATAAGATTGTTTACCGTGATCTTCTTAGCGTCGGACAACTTCCTCTGCAAAATACTATTCTGGGCAGCCAGTGTTTCTTGATTAAGTTCTGTTGGTCGTGATCCGCTCAAGAGTTGAGAGAAAGTCTGGCGATGGAGCATCTGTTTCTTCATTTGGATGTGTCGACCTTGGCTGATATGCGGATAACGCTTCCTGCCAGTTTTGGTACAGTAGGATACGATGCTTCCTGAATAAATTTTCTTCTCGGGCAAAGCCATTCGTGGGATGGGAGGTTTAGGTACTAAATCGTCCACTTCTTTGTAGACGCGAAATGAATTCAGTTGAGGGAGATCCTCACCTTTGGACTCCATCTCAGTGCGCTCCCGGTCTCCCGCTTGAAGAGGCTGATCCTTTGGCGTCTGAATTGACCCGACGTGACTTTCTTTGGAATGCGATCGGCCGTCACCTTCAGTGGTTGCATCTTCTCCCACAGATTGAATCCTATTTAATATTGCCTCAACATCTAGAAGCTCCAGCAAGCATTTGTACCTCAAGATATTTTCTTGCTTCCAGTTCTCTTGAGATATTTTCCGGGAGCTTGAGATAAGATCCCTTTTCTTTGTAGATCCCCCTTTTACCCTAGGCAAATGCTTCTGCTTCTGGATCTCTTCACAGCTTTCACAGATTTGCTTTGTGAGCAGGTCCTTCTCTTTCTGGTTCTTCTTCAAACTACTCTGGAGAGGCTTCCGCTCTTGACATATTTGCTCGACCTGGTTCAGAAAGTTTTCATGTGCTTGACGAACAGCTATATCGCTATCTGATTGCTCTGACTTGCAGTCCTCTAGTGGCTGCTCCTCCATATATCTCTTCTCGGTCTGATTTTTGAATAATTCTACCCTAATACATTTCTCGGATAGCTCCTCTATATCTTTAGGCAATCTATCATCGGCTTCGACCTCCAAAGTTAAATCATCTCCCGCATATTGAATCTTCTGTAGTGCATGCTCAACATTCTGAAGCTCCTGCAAGCATTTCTTTTTGATGATCTTTGCTTGCATCCGGTTGTCTTGAGCCATTTTTAAAGAGTAAGAAATGAGATCCCTTTTCCGCGTGGATCCCCCCTCTGCCCTTGCCAAAGTCTTTTGCTTTTTAAACTCCTCACAGCGGTCTCTGATCTGCTTAGTAAGCAGGTCCCTCTCTATCTGGATTTTTTTCAAACAACTTTGGAGATCTCCATATGGGTCTGCTTTAGGCTCACTCTTTTGACATAACTCCGCGGCCAGGTTCAGGAATTTTTCATGTGCTTGTTGAACAACCATATCGCTATCTGATTGCTGTGACATCCTGTCTTCTGGTGGCTGCTCCTCCATATTCCTCTTCTTGGTCTGTTTTTTGACTTTATTGTGGTCATTATTCAAGCGTTCCTCTTCAATGCTTTGGCCCGACAGCTTTTCTTCTTTACGTTTGGGTAGAGCTTCTTCACTGATCGGCTCTGTTTGCTCACTGGCCTCTCTTAGGAACTCTTTTTTAGCTCTTATTTCTTCCTTCCTTCTTTCCCTTTCTTGTGCCGGACTTAATTCTCCTACTGGTACGTCATACTTCTTTTGAAGATTGATCCATTTTGCCAGCATCCTTTTCTCCCTAGAATTAAAGGAGTCGTCTCCATTTTCCGTCTCTCTATTTTCTGATTTTTCTTGTGACTCGTTCTCTTTGAATTCTTGGTTTCTTTCAAATTTAACTTTTCTTTTACTGTCTTCTCCCCTCTTCGTTTTTGAACCGATCACATTCAGTGCATCTGTCGGTTCTTCCTGGTTCGCTTCCTGCTCCTTGTGAAACTTGCTTTTATCTTTCTGACTCCTCCTTTCCCCTTTTGCGATCTGTCTGCGGTTATCAGCTTGCTCTCGATCCAACCGCTCCTCCTTCAGACGCGCTCGTTCAGCCAGCGCTTTTTCGCGGTGAAACTGCTTGAGTCCTTCATAGGCCATCACCTTTTGCTTGACATTCTCCGCCCGCAAGACGGATTGCTGCTCACGGACATCGCAATGTCCACAGTTGGTAGCAAGGGGCAGAGAGCATGACCTGTGAAATGTCTGACACTTAACATTCTTCCTGGCTTCTTGGACTGGCTCTTCTAACTTCACTTTCTTTTCGACCTCTTTAGCTTTATCTTGTCTTTGGTGATGAGCTGGCACCTTGCTTAAGTGATCCTTTCGGGGTAGAGGACGCGGGCTCTGTGCTTCCCGTCTCTTGTTCATTAGATAGCGCTCATGATCACGACGTTCCTTGACCTTTAGCTGCTGCTCGAGTAAACGACTCTCTCGTAGCTGGCGGGCCTCTGCCTTTCGCTGGAGGTCTAACTGACGCTGCTCTGCCGCCCAATGGAGACCATCGTTTAGAACCCGCTGGCGCTCTCTATCTCGTTTCTTCTTTATCTCCTGCCTCTTGCGTGCTCGATCCAACAGATCGCGATCCCTCTGGCCCACCTGGACTCTAACCTCCTTGATTCCGGTGCCTTCTTTGGGCTGCGAGCTGACGGAAGTCTCATTAAACCATAGCCCTCGCTCCTCCCGTCGGTATTGCTTCTCCAGCGTATTTAGGTGCTCAACTCTCTGGGGCCAAGCGAAAGGAGACGGTCGCCTGCTTCGGCTGCGGCGGAACAGACTCTCCGTAGAGGGCTTGGGCGCCTCTACCTCCGGCGGACTGAAGCGGAGCAATCGTTGCCGCCCCTCCTCGTCGAGGAGCAGACGTAGATCAGTGCGGCATTTGACGTGAGTAGTGAAGGGCTTCGACAGGCGGCCCACCAGTCGCAGTTGCCGCACCATCTGGTCCAGTACGCAATCGCGTGCCCTGGCCTGATGCTCAGCACAACTATTGAGATAACTAAGCCAACTTTTGCATAGGGCACGATCTTCGGCAGAATTCTTTTGGCGTATCAGATGGCGGATGAGGTCCATTTTCTTGCGACAACTACGCTGGAGGAGCTCCTCACCTGTGATTACTGTTTTGTTATTCGCCATAGAAAATGTAGTACAAAATTTTATTTCGTTTAAGTTGCGCGTTGAGATCTCGAACTAACAATAACTTTGCTTTCTCACAACTGACTGTTGATACTCGGATTAAAGATCAGTAAACTCCTGGTTTGCTTTGTTTAGTATGCTGTTAATTATAATGCCAGCTTTGCGCAAATTCGTATATGGATACATAAGGTTTAAGAAAGAGTAGAGAAGATCAAAGAGTATTTAAAAATGCCTGCCCAAAGGTAGGCTACAGACTTGGGGGAAACGTCTGCAGTTTCACATTTATCTGGGAACTTTCTTCTATGAATTATGAATTATATATAAACCAATCGTTTGACCCTTTTTTTAGTATCTCCAAGTAATAAACTTACCAGATACACAGTGCCATAGATGCGTAGGCTCGCTGGAAATATGGACATCATCATTCCAGCCGCTGAACAGGCACAGCTCGAGGTCCAGGGATGTATATACTCCTGGCAGGTACAATTGAAGGCGATCTCCGCCAGTTTGCTTTGTGCCGCCATGACTCCACTTTGTATATTGACTGCGATTATGGAATAGCTACCAGACGGTAGGTGATAAAGGTTATCGGGGGAAGTGGTGCGGAACTATAGCCAAATGAGGCCCATTAATCTAAATTCAGTCCGGCGGCTACGCAGAATATAGACTGTTTCCAGTCGAGTAGAACTAACTAACTTCGGCACGATGAAATTTGTATACCCTTGCAGTTCTCAATTAGATCTTAGTATATTTTTTTATTTTTACAGGTGCACAGATACAGTTTTCACAGTTTTACAATTTTCTCTACATCTGGCGATCTGGATGTTGATGCTAATACCTACTTTAAAGGGTCGTAACCGTCTCCTACTCTGCGTTCCAAACTTCTGACTAAAATCATAATGCAAGGGTATAAAAACACTACTATCAGTTTAGATTTAACTTTCCAGTAGTTTTAGCTGGATCATTGTACTAGTTACCTTTAGTCATCCACATACTTTAGGCAGCCATAAAATACCATTGACTGCGATACGGGAGTTTACGCAGACTTGGTTGTTCTCAGAAGCCACAGTCACCAGGTGCGTCGTGCGTTCCCAATCGCGGCAAGTGATTCGGGATAAGTGCGTCTAGTGTGATGACATCGCACACACGCTGCGGTTTGTTTACGTTATCCACAGGCTTGGGGTCTGTTATCAGCAATTCGAAGTTCCCCCTCACGAAAAAAGCTAATTTCCATACAATTCTTTGAGTGGCTAGTCTAAGAAATAGCTTCAAAGCTTTTAAAGACTTTTGGGGATGTTCTGATTTTCATATTCGACAATTCGAGAGATGCCTTAGTGCCAGTGAAAACACCTTAAACTTGGTTTGTAATTATCATGCTGAGTTTTATTGATATAAAAAACTGCTATCAAGACGAACAGTCAACACAATTTACAATCCACCCACACTTGCTTAGTATAGTAATCGTTGGACGCTCTCAGAGAGCGGGAGACTCTTGTCGTATATATATACAAATAGCTATCAAACGCAGATTAATGGATATATGGAGATATGTAGGGTGAGGCCGCTAACCAAGACGACTGACTAACTGTACATGCGCCAGAAGCGTCCTGATGTTGGCTCAGGAGGCGAACGAGAAGGCTGGCAGCGGTCCCTTCTCTACGATGTTCAGAGCCTTGATGGTGTCCAGCGCCTGTTGCTGACTCCCCAGACCCAGTACATCGAAGGCGCTCAGATTAAATCTGCTTAGTCTGCCAAATATAAGGAATCGTTAATCTAATGCTTACGCACCGCGGTTAAACTTTGCTCACCTATCGCCCGAGATGGCCTGCAGAAACTTAAAGTAGCTGGGGCGCAGGCTCTTGGGCTCCAAGATGCCCGCGTGGAAGAGCACGGCTGTGAAGAAGGAGTACAGGAACAGCATAAAGTGAGGGATGTGCGGCAAAATGCCTCGCTTCTGGCCCATGGCACAAAGGATCTGCAAGGAGAGGATTGTGTTAAAATAAACCTTTTATCTATAAACCCAATATAAACCCACCTGCAGAGCCTGCCACATGACATACAAGGCCACCGTGTTGTCCGGATACAGGGTAAAGGCCACGGACGAAATTAATCCTGCTGGAATGGCAAATCTGGCATCATCCCGGTTAAAACTGTGGCGCAGCAGACAGGAGACCGCCTGTAAATATCAATAAGGTTACTGCTGCTCAACCGAACGCCAAGGTTTGCTACTTTCTTTGTACAGGAAGGAGAAGCTGCCCATAAACATTCCCAGCTGCAAGGTGCCCTGGTTAAAGACCTGCTTTTTCCACGCCATCTTTCCGGAGACTATGCGCTTAGCGTTCATCAGCATCTTAAGGGCCACCTGAAGCGCCACTCCTCCCACAAAGGGTTTGATACCGCCCATCACCGAGTAGCTCATGCAGCTCTGCTGGTGCCCGCAGCTGGCGTGCTTGGCGCGGATCAGGTTGCTGTAGATTCGCACAAAGTCCGATACGGAGGAGAAGCTAACGGGGGGTCGGCTTCTGGAGGGAGCTGGTTGCTCGCCTGGAACTATTGGTGCGTCCTTGGCCACCGGTCCAGCCTCCTCTTTGCCCACAAAGATGCGGAGAATGTTGAAGATGGAACCCTTGGAGACGCCCAGTCGGTAGATGTAGAGTAGGGCCGCCATGCTCACGCCAAAGATAAGAGTCTGGCCGTGGGGTATGGAACGCACCAAACCCCTTGACTCGGCCATCTTCCACAACGACTCAGTGGCCACGTTGGCCACGTACAGAGTGAGCAGCGGTCGGCGGGCGGGACGCTCCACCAGAATGGCGCTGAACGAGGCAAAGAAACACGGTATAAAGGCCACCGTGGAGAGGTGATAGCGACCCAAGACGTTTCGTAGCAGACAATTGTACAGGATGAAGGTGTAGGCGTTGGTCACCAGGAAAGCCGTCGACTGTATGATCCCCAGGAGGGTACGCCGCAGATCCTCCAAACTGGGCACTTTGTGGCGCATCAGCAAGGAGATGGCGTAGACGATGGTGTAGACACGCAGGCAGTAAGGTGTGGCCGAGAGGAGGATCCCAGCAGTGGCGCTCACGCAATGGTCTGTCCAAGGGTGCTGGAAGTCCTTGCAGGTGATGCACAGTGGGTCAATTAGCTTGCTTTGCCCCGCCATCGTTGAAGGTAAATCTGTGTGCAAGAAAACATATAATAAAAATATTTGTCTTAATGCTGGGAATAATATTTTTAATAAATTAAAATCGACAATTTTGTGGGTGGCCGAAATCAATTTGAATCGTTAGTCACTATACATGGGGTGGCCGGGTCCGAGTCCGTTTCTTAACCTTTAATCTTATCTGCAGGCTACAAGTGCTTGCAGCGTTATTGTTCTGCTTTCTGCGCTATCGGTTGTTCCACTGAACTTGAAATAGTACCAAAATTAGCTTAGGTTTTTTAAATGTTTTTAATTATTTTTTTATTTTGCGAAGGACGCACTGCACCTGCTGCTGGCCAGGCCAGAACTGACTGGTTCCCGCGAAGCAAGCCTGAGAAGTTGGATTGGCGGATTACAGCTGGTTAGCGGGTATCTGTGACAATTTACTGCTGTCTATCGATAAGATATATACGTGATTAGCCGACTCGGGGGGATTTTGCCTTTAGCAAGAGCAAAGAGTAGTCAATGCGGTAGAAAAAGCTGTTCAAAGTTGGTATTCTAATCATTTGGTGTCGGGTAACTAATCATAAAGTTGATGTTCATTAAAAAAGCTTAGACTTTTATAGGCTGTATTTTTAACTATTAAATTATAAATACTTAATTTTTAGGTAGAATGTAAAATGTTAAAATATGTTAATTATTTATTTCTACTATATTTCTAAAAGAAAAGGGTTTAAATACCAGAAAGAGTAGTATGACATAAGATAAAATAAAGCTTGTTTATTATTTCTCAAATAAATATTTTAATGTCGGAGAGTGGGGTCATAAAAAAGCATGTTTATTAGTTTTCTAATAATAATCTAATAGTCCCCAAATGTATTTACAAAACTCTAAAACTATAGATTAGTTTGCTTAGCAACAGACATATTGATATGGCTAGATTGACTCGTCTGTTAACAGAAGAAGCAAATAAAACTATCTCAATTTTGCAATTTATAAAAGAATAACTCTCCTAAAAGTTACGATGGCAATAAATAAAGAACACCTTTAGAATTTATTGGTTTTACTTTGATGACAAAGCACTATAATAGTAGTTTATACTTTGGATTAGGCCAATGTTAGATAAGAGGTTTTTCTTGTGTAAGTATAACAATGTGATAGCATTTATTAACCCAGATAAAACTAACCTAGGCTACATTAGATTATACTATATATATTATAAATATATATTATAAAGTTGTAGCTGTAACCAAAGCTATCTGCCTCTCGAAACCTCACTTTCCCACTCGCGATTTGCATAAGAAATATGGATGGGAAGTCACTGGCCTCCGGGTCAAGTCGAGATCTTTGCGCAACGGCTGGGCGAGATACGGAGTCCGGGGGGGACTGGAGCGTGCTAATCTCCATTGTCGAACTACTTAGTAGGTAGAGAGGTACTCACCAGTCAACTACTGGACACTTGACTGCGGCAATAAAGTGATCGAAGCCTAATCGCCGATTTATTCGCTGCTTGATTTGAGATACGGCCTATGTTGGCACACACAGATTGGCCTGACTGAGCCGAGAGAGCTACGGATCCGAATTTCGGAATGGGAATTTGACAGATTAACGAGATGAATCGGGTGACGCGCAGCGCCTGCTGTGAATCCGGATTTTATGTGTATGCCCCGTGAGTACTCCGTAGCTTGCATCGGATGGAATCGGCCGAGTATATAGTACTTTGTGTAGATGAAGATGGAAAGCGGCGCAGCAAAGTCCAACCGACCAACAACAACAAGTGGTCGCTGGGGCGGCGCCGTGGAGGAGTTCTCTTCGATTCCGCTGCTCTGAAGCAGCAGCTGCTTCGCCCGTGCTAGCAGGCCGTCAGCTGCATATTTCCCTTTGTCACAGCAACGGCGTTTATCTCACTTTTATCAGCGTTTTTAAACGGGGCAATTTAGCGTTTTGTAAACAATAATAACAACTGCTGGTCATATGCTGCGCCTATCGATATATCGATAGCGCGGGACAATCGATTGGTGAGCCCGCGGCGATGTTAGGTTGACGATAGGGCGCGCGAGTTTGAAGTGGAAATTAGAGATGCTGTGAGATAATATTACCAATTTTACTGGGGACTTGTTTAATAAATACTATATTGCAAGAATTTAAGAGCATTTCGTTTTTAATTTCTAGCCATTCAAAGTGTAAGGTATTTAATTTGTTTTCGGAATTTAAGAAGAACGATTTGGATTATGTGCCAAGTATCCTAAGAATATTTTATTCAAGTTTTACTTCAATTATAGGAAAAAAGGAAGTTAAGGAAGTCGAGCTGGTTTTCTGCTTTAATTTTTATTAAGTTCAATTACCGAATTTAATATTAATTTTATTGGGTAAAAATTATAAGCTCTTTATATATTATAATTTATAAATTTGTTGTTATCAGAGGAGTGATCTGTCTTATTAAAAGGAACCCTGTATAATAAACAAATGTACTGTGATACACATAATTTTCTATCTTTAAATTTGTATCGTATGTTACCGAAATGGATCGAATATCAATGATCTAATTGTAAACTCTACATTTATAAAAAATATAAATTGACTTTTGATTTGACTTGACTTTTATATATTTTTTATTGTTGATTTTAGAACAATTCATAATCGAGTAAAATTTATGGTTTTACTTTCAATAGTATATAAACATATTAAGTTGCTTTACATTGGAATTGATAAGATTATTCAGCAGTGGTATATCTTTTATGCATTTTCAGAAATTGTTAACAAATAATATATTCTTAATGTTTTCAAGGTGAGTAAATTTAAGAAATTAAATTAGCTTTTGCACAAATTTGAAGCGACAAATTTATTTGTGTGCTTTTCCATGCCTGCATTTAAAAAAAATTATATTCACAATCCAAATTTCTGCCAATAATCGAACAGTGAAAGTGGTTCAACCAAAATCTAATTTGCTTCGAATGATAAAATTTTTGTTGATTAAAACAACATTTTCTCCCCAGAGAGAGTCTTAATTGGCTGAAAATTATCCGACAAGGCTAAAGAGTCGCTTTGGCTGTGCTCGGTTGTGGTCTGAAACCTACGCGTGGTTGAGATTTTCATTTGCGAATCCTGTGGCGACCTCTGAGGCCACAATGCGTGCCACAATCAACTCAGGCTGCCTCACTGCCAAAGCACTTGGCCTGCCAAATTGTTTGCCATTCGAACAGGAGGCAGGCAGGCAGGCTGTCTCGCTGCCAAACACTCTGTGCCTGTGCAATCAATTGGATTTCGGCTGTAGTTCATAAAGTGTATCTGGGCCTGTCTCTGGATCACCTCTTATTCCACTTTCGATTCCGCATTCCGTTTCCGCCAGTTCCTTTCCACTTGCGCGTGCACTGCAATAAAAATATGATAGTAAGAATAATAATATACCTAAAATCAAGGTAATGATGGCCTAAATAAATCACTCTAGATATGTCTTTATGATGATAAGGGAAAGTAGATTTAATAAAAATGATTTATAATAAAATCCAGGCTTAACCCATTTTATTTTCCAGTGCAGGGAAGCTCTTTGAGTGCGGTTTTCGCGGCACAACGGATATACAAAATATTCCGTTATTGTTTGTAGCTTCTCCCACTCTTGGCTGCAGTTGCTTTTGCCATTACCTGTGGCATGGCTTATTTTGTAAAGCCAAAAGCGCTTAAGTAGTTCATTCAGCAGGAGTATACGGCCTAAGCAGATGGGGTGAGAGTCCTTTTTTGGCCTACCTACCAACCTACCCTCCCATCAAGCTCTCTGCGGTCTGTGCGTAGCTTCATTTCTGCCGTTTGCCGCTCAAATGCTTAACGAGCGGCCGCTTTGTGTGATTCCCCTGTTTTTGCCGCGGCTTAGGCGGTGGTGCCATGTATATCAAACATACTTGACTCTGTCAGGACCTGGCACTCACTTAATTTACTCGAGGTGTTTCGGCGCTCGACGTCCGTATCCGTATCCCGGCATAAATCTTTGTTTCTGACGTGTCGCTAAGTAGGCACTTAAAAGGTGAGTTGCTAGCCCTCCCGGCCGTATTGTGGCTGCTAATCTAAGCCCGAGCCTTCTCCGCTTTCTTTGGGGTTCAATGGGCAATTAGCCTGGGCGAAGGCTCAAAGCTCCAAGCTCCAGCTTCCAGGCTGCAGGTTGCAGGTCGAGTGCAGCATAATTGTCGTAATAGCCGGTCGAGAAAAGGGCACACAGGGGTCCTGGAGCTGTCAATCCGGCAGCCACTTAGGAATCAATTTGGCCAGCGAGGCGTGCGTTTAATATGCAGCCGAGTACATGGAACGGATTCTCAAAATCTGTAGCCAGCCCGGGATTGGGTCTGGACGCGTGCTAAGGCTGGGGCTCATTGAGTTGCCTGACCACAGCACAGCACACCTCCACCTCCAGCTCCTGCTCCAGCATTTATAGACTTGTCTTGGGCTCATTTATCCTGGCCCGCAACCGCCATCCCCTCTGGCATTGCTTAATGCGGAGGTCCTGTTCAGGATGCCGCCTGCATGTGGCCATTTGTTTAGGTCCTTTGTGGAGTGTGTGTGTGGTTGCGTCCAAATGTGTTCAATTAAGCGGTAATAAATTGTTCATTTGCTCATTGGTGCGCACGGCCATTACAACAACAGCAGCAGGGAGCAGGAGTAGGAGCAGGAGCAGGAGCCGGATCAGGATCTGGAGCAGTGAAGGAGGGGTACCCAGGATCTATGGCTGGAGGAGACATTGTCGTCACTGTAATATTTTATGGGGACCAGCAGCGTACGTTGATGCATATCCTGCCATTAGCAAGCCTTTTGCATAATACACAATTAATTTTGCACAAAGTTGTTATTTTATTAATTGCTTCCATTCGTTTCTTTCCCCACTTCGACCCGACCCCTGCCCCGATCAGGATTCGGTTAACCGAAACCTTGTGTGCTGGCCAGGTCCAACCAAGGGCCCGGGAATCATCAATAGCTGTGGCCAGGAGTCAGCCAAAAACCATGATGCCACCTTGCCAAATTTTCCACTTCTCCCAGCCACCCAAAAATGTGGAGCAGACCGCACTGACTTCACATCAAAATAGAAATTTTGCGGCGGCTGCTAACGAACAAGTGCCAAAACAGACATTTCCCCAACCTCAAGCCCAACCCAACCCTTTGTTTTCTTTGGGGCCAGAGAAGAGTCACACATATGTTCGACTGTTTGGCGTGGGAGTAAATGTGTCAAATGTCACACAGTCAGGCCAGCAAGCCGGGAGACAATTGCCGCAATACCAGCCAGATACTTGTCGGGCGGAAGTTGTTACCAAATGTAAAATTAACAATGGATTATGTGCAGCTTCTGCCTTCTGTCTCTCCGCCTTTTTCCCATCCTCCTCGATTGTTGCCTTTGGAAATTGAAGTCAGTTGATGTTGAACTGTTGTTTTTTCCCCCTCATTTCCAAACTGTTTGGTGAATAAGGAGTAAGTGCTTCAAATGGCATTCCCATATTCCTATTCCTATGGGGGAACAGAAGATAGATTTGAATTTCAGCACGTTTGCTGACAGTGAATATGATTGAAAAAGAAGATACTGCCGGCAGCACTTAGTTATGGAAGTAAGGTATAGTATTTCAGTTGCGAAATTTTGAAAGGGAAAAATATTGAAGAGTAGCAGACATTTCGTGCTTGTGGTTACTGTTCGACTTTTCCATAGGAATTTCTACATAAAAAATGTGTTAGAAGAAGGGTTATTCGATTACTAATTTACAGGATCTTAATTAAGGTATAGTATTTCAATTTTGAAAGAGGAAAATATTAAAGAGTAGCAGACATATTCTGGCTTTGGTTGCTAATTACTTTGTCATTTTAGGTCTTCCATAGAAATTTCTAAATAAAAAATGAGTTACCCTTCTTGGTTATTTGATTACTAATTTACAGGATGTTAATTAAAAGATCGAAATGGTTGAGATAGCTCGGTTCATTACGTAAAACTCAGCTGCCGCACATTAGTAGCCCGATACTGGTGGTTAGGTGTGCGTGCTAGTTAGTAAATTGAGATAGTTGAACCTCTCCATCTTAGATGAGCTCCATTCCCGGCTTCCGTATGCAAATGTATCTACTCGGGGCGAACAACAACGTCAACAGAGTGGAGCTGCGGCCAAAATCAATTCCCGGCGTCCCAGCCAAGGTGCAATATCCCCGAAGCAAAGTCAAACGAAATTAGTTTGCTGCTCATAAAACTTTTCCACGAAGTTTGCGCTGCTGCCCACACCCACCTAAACTGTATGTCTGTGTGTGTGCACACAATAACTTTGGCTTGCCGCCGGTGGGCGGATGGGGATACATATGGGGATGGGGGAGCAGGTGTAGAGGAGCACAGGAACCGGAAGCCCGGTTACCCCACATGGCTCTTCACCTGAGATTTGAGACTTGAGACATGAAAAGTTTTTTGCGGCTCGCCGGCCAGTGGGTCCCAAAGCTTTAATTGTATTTCAAGTTCCAAGCTGTACTGGTGTCCTCGTACTGCTCTTCGTTGTCTTGCTCTGCCTCCTGCTTGATACGCCTCTTTTTACCTTCTACGCTTCAATTTCCATGCGTGATAAATGGCCAAAATGGAAAAATCGCTCGTTTGCTTTTGACCCACTTTGTTCGCTTTGGCGCTACGGTACGCTGTCCTCGCTGGAAGCAACATTTCAGGGCTTTTGTCTTTCAATTTGGCCCGAAAATCTCTTTTTCGGCCAGTTGCGGTGGCATTTGCCGCCACCCTGGCCCGCTTTCTTTTTCGCTTGTAATCGTTCTGTTTGCATTTGCGATGCATTCTTTTGTGGAGCAACGCACATTGCTGGATTTAGTATCGAACCAGTCCAGATGGCTGCCTACAGTACCATCTGGATATGGTCTCAGGGTAAGCAAAATAGGGATTTCTGCATTTTCTATATAAGGTTTTGGAGAGTTTTGTAAGTTTGTGTTAATGAAAAGTATATGTAAATTAAAGGAGGAGGCAGCTTGGAATTTATAAAGGATATATTTAATATAATAAAATTCCTAGTTACTAATTACATGTATAATAAAGAGCATTGGGTTGAAGTAATCCTAAAACAAATGAAGTATTAGGTAATACCTATAATAACCTTCTTTCTATCTCGCTCGCTCTCGGCTCAGAAGCTTAGTCATGACTTAAGCCGCGGTTCGCGTCTCAACTAGTGCGACCCAAACTAAGTCCTTCAGGGATTTTCTTACTAAATAAGTTAGGGGCTTTTAAATTGAATAGGTTTATTCCAGGCATTTTTTTAATTCTCAACAAACCAACATATTTACAGAAATCTATGGCTCACCTCCTAGGGTTCACTGTACTTGGCTTACTAAGACCACGCTGTATAATTGGGCTAACGTGTTCTGCGGGCGTAATTCATTCTGTTTATATGCTCTCGCTCTGGCCAAGCTGGATTGTTGAAATGTGAAAAGATTTAATTTATTTGAAGTGCGAGCGAAAAAAGCGACTTCACTTCGCTGGGATTGGACCGGGTCTTGGATTTGATGCGCTGGCTCCGATTCGCTTTCGAATTGCATTTATTCAAACGTTTCGATTGCTTTCCGCTGGATTCAATCTTCGAGTGATTTATTGTGTGTAGCCGACGGATGGCGGAGGGAGGAGGTAGAGTGGAATGGGAATCGTGATTGCGTTTGCCTAGGCACAACAATTATCTGCGGTTTATGTAAACAAAATCAATAATTAAGTCGCGGACAAAGCCCTAAATTAGAAGCATTGTAAACCCGAATCTATGCATTAACTGTAAAATAGTTCTATAATTATGTCATTAGTCGGCATAATAAATGCTGCGAGCTCCTTGAACGAAAGTCCTTAAAAGAACCACGCGACGGGCTCATTCGTCCAGTTCCACCAAAGAGAATGAAGTTCATGAAGTACGCTATCTTTTTTTACACCTTAGTGGGCATTGAGCCGTACACGAAGTCCGCTCGTCCGCGGAAGAGCAGCGTTTGGGCCAATCTCCTGTTTTGGACCAACGTGATCAACCTGAGTGTCATCGTATTCGGGGAGTTCCTCTACCTTGGAGTGGCCTTTGCCGACGGAAAACTAATCGACGCCGTCACTGTAATGTCCTATATCGGCTTCGTGTTCGTGGGCATGAGCAAGATGTTCTTCATCTGGTGGAAGAAACCAGATCTAAGCGATATGGTCGCAGAGCTGGAGCACATCTATCCCCAAGGCAGGGCCCAGGAGGAGGAGTATCGGCTGGAGAGCTATCTCCGCTCCAGTTCCCGGATCAGTATCACATTCGCTCTGCTCTACTCGGTGCTTATCTGGACCTTCAATCTTTTCAGCATTATGCAGTTCCTGGTCTACGAGCTGTGGCTCAAGATACGAGTCGTGGGCCAGAGCCTGCCGTATCCGGTGTACTTTTCCTGGAACTGGGAGGGAAACTGGTCGTACTATGTGTTGCTGTTTTGCCAGAACTTGGCGGGACACACCTCGGCCTCCGGTCAGATCTCCACGGATCTCCTGCTCTGCGCCGTGGCCACACAGGTGGTGATGCACTTCGATCACCTGGCCAGGGTAATGGAGAGTCGCGACCTAAGTGGCTCCTGGGCCGAGGACTCTCGGTTCCTGGTGGACACAGTCCGCTACCATCAGCGCATACTCCGCCTGACTGATGTCCTAAATGATATATTTGGAATTCCTTTGCTGCTCAACTTCATGGTCTCCACATTTGTCATCTGCTTTGTGGGATTCCAGATGACCGTGGGTGTGCCGCCAGACATAATGATCAAACTCTCCTTGTTTCTATTCTCATCGCTCTGCCAGGTTTACTTGATATGTCATTACGGGCAATTGATTGCCGATGCGGTGGGTATTTATTTAATATTTAAGGTAATATTTTAAAGGGCTCTTATATATTTTATATATAATTTTTTAGAGTTCTGGCCTGGCTATCGCTGCCTATAAACAAAATTGGAACCATGCCGATGTTCGTTATCGTCGTGCCCTTGTCTTCTTTATAGCTCGAGCGCAAAAGACTACCCATCTGAAGGCCACTGTCTTTATGAACATAACCAGAGCCACCATGACAGATGTATTACTTTAGTTTACCTTTAATTTAGGCCCGATTGAATTAGTATTTTCACCATTGCAGCTTCTTCAAATATCCTACAAGTTCTTTGCATTGCTCCGGACGATGTACGTCAAGTAAATATATTCAGGAGGGAAACTAACTAAATAAATATCTTCTTCATCACTTCACCAATGAAGAACAAGTGTTTTTATTATATCATTAGAAAATAATAGCTTGGCTAATATTTCTAATTATAATTCGTTTTGTCTACAAAATTTATAATTAACTTGAAAAGCGCCTTGATTGAATAAAAAGGTTAATGAATAGCAAGGTTAATGAATACATTACATTATTATCTTTCTGTCTTATTAAAATTTCAAGTGCGCCTGGAATTCTTTTGAACCGATGCACCTGTTAAAAACCGCAAACCCTGTCATATCGTTGCCCTTGCCCTTCACTACTTAAAAAGAGATTTGGTGTTGATGTCTATTTGAATACCCCTTAATCTTAGGTTTATCGAATTGAAATAAATTTGATCACACCATTTACTTTTACTATACTATATTAGATCTTCCACGAACCTCCTCCACTTGTCTTCTAATATCTGGCCTAAGCTACACGCTCGGGTCTTTATTTATGTAGATTGATATCAATTCTTAAGTAAAAAGAACACACACAAATTTAGGTAATAATAATATTGTAATTTAAGAAAGTATCAAAATTAACTAGGAAATATAATTGATTGTTGTCAAGATAATATTTAGCTTCTGATACCCTAATAAACTTAACCTTTTTAACTGAATCATCGCTAAATTAGTACTTGCATGACTAATAATTTGCAAAAGGACTATAAAACCATTGACATTTTTTCGACGAGTTCATTCTGAAGGGAATACTTTTAGCAAGCACTACTGCTTTCAGCGATGGAAAAGTTCCTGAAGTTCGCTAACTTCTTCTACCTACTCGTTGGCATAGAGTCCTACACAAAGAACTTATCCGATGATAGAGTCAACTTGAGACCCAGCATCCTTTTTTTGGCAAATGTGATCAACTTGATCCTTGTCGGAACCTGTGAAAGCATTTACGTCCGCAGTGCCTTCAAGGATGGAAAGCTCCTGGAGGCCGTCACTGTGATGTCTTACGTTGGCTTCATAATTGTGGGCATGAGTAAGATGCTCTTCATTCGGTGGAAGAGGGCTGCCATGGATGAGATGATGAGGGACTTGGAAAAGCTCTATCCACGTGGCAAGGTTCAAGAGGAGAGGTACGACCTACCGAGATACTTGCGAACGTGTTCAAGGATAAGCCTCATCTACTCGACGCTCTACTCCGTTCTCATCTGGACCTTTAACCTGTTCAGCATTATGCAGTTTTTGGTTTACGAGAAGTGGCTGAAAGTCCGCGTGGTGGGCAAGACCTTGCCCTACCTCATGTACATTCCCTGGAAATGGGAAGACAGCTGGTCTTATTACCCATTGCTTCTCTCCCAGAACTTTGGAGGGTACACCGCGGCTGCAGGACAGATATCCACGGATCTCCTTCTTGTCGCTGTGGTCACTCAGTTGGTAATGCACTTTGACTGTCTTTCAAGTACGATGGAGAACCACCAGCTTACTGGAAAGTGGCAGGAGGATTCCCGATTTCTGCGGGATATAGTTCGCTACCACGAGGGGATCCTTCGCCTGGCCGACGTGGTCAACGATATATTCGGAGTTCCGCTGCTGCTAAACTTTATGGTTTCCTCGTTCGTAATTTGCTTTGTGGGATTCCAGATGACAGTTGGTGTTGCGCCGGACATGATCATAAAGCTGATGCTGTTCCTCTTTAGCTCGATGAGCCAGGTTTACTTGATTTGTCACTACGGACAAATGGTGGCTGATGCGGTGAGTTGGGATTTGTAAGGTTTCCGCTGAAATGTTGTTTGGCGTTTTAATATTTAACAAAAGGAAATATACATATTTACTACTAAATCTTTCAGAGTTCTGGTATGTCGCTGGCCACTTACAATCAGAACTGGACTCATGCGGATGTCCGTTACAAGCGAGCCTTGGTCATTATTATGGTGAGGGCCCAGAAGACAACTTATCTGAAGGCCACTATCTTTTTGGACATTACCAGGGCCAGCATGACAGACGTAAGGGTGGCCAGGCTGAGAATATTCGTGATCGTAGCTCAAACGATTTTTCTTTTTAGCTTCTTCAGCTATCGTACAAGTTTTTTGCTCTGCTCCGAACCATGTATGTCCAATAAGGATGGCCGGATTCAAACGATTTTATATCTACACCACACAAGGCTTTCACGGGAAAGGATTTTCGACGGTTCAGGAAAAAATAAGCAAAATATACAGCTTTCTTTATGAGTTTTAGAAATGTATGATTGTTCATACCATAATTATGTAAACTAAAAGAGATATTGTATGTGTCATTTAAATTAATAAATTAAATTTAAAAAAAACTCAATTTTTCATTATTTTGGTTAAAAACGCCATAATAAGGGCGTGTTTTTTTTTTGGTAAACTCTTCTAAAACAGAGACATTATTAAAATTGATCGCATTAAAACGTTTCGCCTAAATCAGTCCTTAAACTGAACTTTTCAAAAAAGTAATTTCAGTACATTCGCGGGCGAATGGGTTACATTTTTGTAAATATCTGAAAACAAAAAATTACACAAATTATAGTGCTAACCAAGAGTTCAGTTTGAATGCGTACAAGTGACGAGTTCGCCATCACTCGCAAGTGGTATTGTATTTAAACCCTATCATTAAAAACGTGATATAAAATAGCAAGGTTAATTTAAAAAGTGAATGTGCTTATTGTGCATTATTATCCTTCAGTCTAATTAAAATTTCAAGTGCACCTGGAATCCTTTTCAATCGTTGCACCTGTTGTAGTATGCTGGACTCATATCGTTGGCCTTGCCCTTTACCACATTACAAGGGTTTTTTTTTTTTAATGTCTATTTGAATACCCTCCAGTCTTAGGTTTATCGAAGTTAAATGTATTTGATCACACATCTTGATACTATTACTATACCAAATATACAGATATTCCAATGACTAATAATAGCCGATCTGTGTTATCTTGAATCTCGATTTATGTATATTGTTATAAAGAAGCCTTTAGATTCTGAGTTAGCAATAGCCTTAATATATAATATATACCGTAATACTTCGATTATATTTTATAATAATACCATAACTAATGACTTTCTATAATATCTCTTATCAAGGAAATACCCCTAAAATTATTATTATTATTATTAATGACTTTCTATAATATCTCTTATCAAGGAAATACCCCTAAAATTACATTCTAATCTGAAAGGGTAAACAACTTAAATGTTTAATTAAATAATCACCAAATCAGTAATCAATAGTTGCATTGCATGACGATTTGTTTGCAACGGCTATAAAACGACTGCAATTTCTTTGGAGAATTCATTTTGGAGGAAAAACTTACAGCAATCACAACTCATTTCAGAGATGAAAAAGTTCCTGAAGTTCGCTAACTTCTTCTACCTACTCGTTGGCATTGAGCCCTACACGAAGAACTTGCCCGATGACAAAGCCAGCTTAAAAGCCCACATCCTATTTTTGGCAAATGTGATTAACTTGATCTTTGTTGGACTCGGTGAAAGCATTTACGCCCGCAGTGCCTTCAAGGATGGGAAGCTCCTGGAAGCCGTCACGGTGATGTCTTACATTGGCTTCGACATTGTGGGCATGAGTAAGATGCTTTTCATCCGGTGGAAGAGATCTGCCATGGATGAGATGATGAGGGACTTGGAGAAGCTCTATCCACGTGGCAAGGTTCAAGAGGAGAGGTACGACCTGCCGAGATACTTGCGAACCTGTTCAAGGATCAGCCTCACCTACTCGACGCTATACTCCGTTCTGATCTGGACCTTTAACCTGTACAGCATTATGCAGTTTTTGGTTTACGAGAAGTGGCTGAAAGTTCGCGTAGTGGGCAAGACCTTGCCCTACCTCATGTACAATCTTGAACATAAGTATTTTGACATAAATAAAAATTCACATTTTGTGTTGTAAACATTAATTTATTTATCCAAAAAAGATCAATGAAATTTATTTATAACAATAGTGTAATAAGACAATAAAAAACAACAAAAATATTACATTTTATATTACATCTTATAAACTAAAAATACAAATTCATTAAAGTGGGAGGCCAAATGTATTTTGACATAACCTAATTTGTTAGAAATTTAATCTGAATTGTAAAAAATGTTAATAATGAGTAGAAATTAGTAAAAAATAATCCCTTCTCTGGCATCTACTACCTTTTGTAATCGTGTTGGAGCAGATTTGACTAAATTTTGAAGCGTTTCAAGGTAAATTTCCTTCCATAGTCCTTCGACTTAATAAATTGTCTCCTCTCAAGTTCTTGTTAAGTTTGGACCCTCATACGTTTTGAGATCGGGACTTTTGGGTGGCCAATCTAAAGATTTTACTTCAAAGTCCCTGAAAAATGTTGTTATCATTTTTGCTTTGTGGCATGGAACATTATCCTGCTGCAGGATAAAGTCTTGCCTGTTAAGTCTGTCGCCGGTAAGAAATTCGTGGTCAATCAGGATACGCAAATTCATCGTCCCATTGATGGGGACCAAATAACCGATACCGTTAAAGCAGAAACATCCCCAAAACATGACACTGCCGCCACCATGTGGTATACGTTGAATGAGAGGTACCACTTTCTTGCGAATATTTTTTGGTAATCTGGAGTAAATTTTATTTTTTGAACCATGGTACTCAAAAGAACTCTCATCGGTCCACAACATTTGTTCTCAAAAGGATTTGGCAAAGGCTAATCGTTTCAACTCATTTTTAGGTGAAATGAAAGGTATCTGACGGGCCACATAAGTAGCAAAGTTAGCCTTTTTAAGTCTTCTTTCAACTGTTTTTCTACTAATTTAAAAATCATAATCGTTTTGAACTTCCATGGAAGCTGGATTTGGTATAATAAGGTCAATTTCTTTAAATTTTGAAAGAATTAGACGATCTTGTTTAGGCGAAGTCTTGCGTGGTCGCCCTTTTGTCTGTTTATATTTGTTAATTTGATAGTAAATGGTTTGTCGGGGTACTTTATAAAATATGCTGAGGTTCTGGACCGAAATACCTGAGTGGTACTTAATTACTATTTCGTTTCGCTGGATTTGGCTTAGCGCCCGTGTTTTACCCATATTTTCATTAAATAACGGTACAGAAATTAGGAAAATTGACAAAAATGTATTAAAGCTGCTAACAGATTAATAAGCCTGAGTTATAAATAACAATAAACTGTTTTTAATGCACACGAAACAAATGAGAACTAAATGAATGCAATGTCAAAATATTTTTGTCCACCCAAAAATGCATGATCTCTCACATCACGTGACATAGCAAAGAAGTTAATTTACTTATCAGTGTCATATTTTGCTCTCTTAAAGTTTTAAATAGAATCTCTTACTGCAAAGTTAAATGGATCCCGTAACTTTTACGAGTACTAAAATACACGCGCTGGAATATAGCTAACAGCTGTGTCAAAATACTTATGTCCATGATTGTACATTCCTTGGAAATGGGAAGACAGCTGGTCCTATTACCCATTGCTTTTTTCCCAGAACTTTGCAGGGTACACCGCGGCTGCAGGACAGATATCCACGGATCTCCTTCTGGTCGCTGTGGTCACTCAGTTGGTAATGCACTTTGACTGCCTCTCAAGTACGATGGAGAACCACCAGCTTACTGGAAAGTGGCAGGATGATTCCCGATTTCTAAGGAATACAGTTCGCTACCACGAGCGGATCCTTCGCCTGGCAGACGTGGTCAACGATATATTCGGAGTTCCGCTGCTGCTGAACTTTATGGTTTCCTCGTTCGTAATTTGCTTTGTGGGATTCCAGATGACAGTTGGTGTTCCGCCGGACATGATCATAAAGCTGATGCTGTTCCTCACTAGCTCGATGAGCCAGGTTTACTTGATTTGTCACTACGGATAAATGGTGGCTGATGCGGTGAGTTGGTATTTGTAAGGTTTCCGCTGAAAGGAATTGTGTCACTAGCAAATAAAAATAAACATATTTGTCACTAAATCTTTCAGAGCTCTGGTATGTCGCTGGCCACTTACAATCAGAACTGGACTCATGCGGATATTCGTTACAAGCGAGCCCTGGTCATTATTATGGTGAGGGCACAGAAAACAACCTATCTGAAGGCTACTATCTTTTTGGATATAACCAGGGCCAGCATGACAGACGTAAGGGTGGCCAGGCTGAGAATATTCGTGATCGTAGCTCAAACGATTTTTCTTTTTAGCTTCTTCAGCTATCGTACAAGTTTTTTGCTCTGCTCCGAACCATGTATGTCCAATAAGGATGGCCAGATTCAAACGATTTTATATCTACACCACACAAAGCTTTTAGAGGGCACGTTGTTTATTGCAAACTTGGCTTAGGAAAAATGTAAGCAAATCTACAGCTTCACTGGAAAGCTTTCTCGGCTCTTTTTATAAGTTTGAGAAATGTATGATGTGTTTATCCCATAATTATATAATCTTAAAGATATATTGTATTTGCCCCTTACATAAATAAATGTTTCAAGAACAAAATATGTTCTAAAAAGAGTTGTTATATACTAAAGTTAACATCACTTTCAGTATCCTTTATATTGAAGTATTTTATAAGTCGCATCATAGTATTTCTTTCTGAGAATAACCCGAACCACCATGGGATAGGGTGAATGGGCAGGCGCTCTCGACCTATTCATTTTTTTTTTTTCAATTTTCAGCTCCTTCAGATATTGTACAAGTTCTTTGCTCTGCTCAAAACCATGTACATATGTCCAATAGGGATGACCGGCGAGATCCCTCAATGCCTAAGCCCTTCTCTATGCGCTCCACATAATGCTTTCAAAGGCTCAACGCGAGCTTAATTATGCGGCGGCACGGGCACCACGCATGTCCATCGCAGCTTTGACACTGGCCAAAAGCGTAGCAATCTTTTTAGCGCTAGCTGCTGGCACTGAAAAGGCAATTCTACAGCTCCACGGAAGGGGGGGAGTGGGAAAATAGGTTGCCACAAAAGAAAATTGCAGAGTACATTTTACTCTTCACTGCACACAAGTTGTGCTTATGAGTTTTTACAGCTTGTTATGCCCTAGTTGAAGGGGTACTTTAGTCGAGACTCCACGGTTAGCTTGAGACTCGTAGGAGTTTCTTAGAAATAAGTTTGTTCTGAGCGAATCTTAGTTTAT